CAAATTATTTGTTCATGTTCTTGTTCATTTAGATATGCTGTATCATAAAGTGTTTTTGTGTTTTCCCCCGTTTTTAAAAAATGAATTCTGTTTTTCTCTTATTTTTAGTAATTTTATATATTCTACATGAGAGTTCTTTGTTGGTTATGTATAAGACAAATATCTTGCCCCATTTTGTGGCTTGCTTCTTTTACTTTCTTAAAAGTGTCTTTTGATGTATAGAATTCCCTAACTTTGATTTAGTACAATTTGTGAATATTTCCCTTAATGGTTAGTGATTTTTGTCTATTATTTAAGAAATCTTTCCTTCCTCAAGACCTGAAGACATCCTTCTTGTTTCTAGAAGCCTTTTCAGGTTTGATATGTGATCCTCCTGGAACTGATTTCTGTGTATGGTGTGAGATAAAAGTCAAAGTATATTTTATTTTCCCTGTTTTTTTTCCATATAAATACCCAATTGACTTAGTACCATTTATGGAAAAGAACTTTCTCCCCATTCCCCACTCTGCAGTGTCTCCTTTCTCATAAATCAAGTATTCATGTAATTGTGAGTCTGTGTATCTTATTATTTTGATCAATTTGTATATTCTTGCATCAATACAAAATTGTCTTAAGTCCCATTTTTTCTAGTTCTTGATATTTAGTAGTGTAAGTACCTAAACTTAGTTGTTCTCCTTTAATCGTTTTAGTGATTTATGCCATTTGCATTTCTATATAAATGTTAAAATCAACTTATAAATTTCCAACAAAATAAAGAAGGAAACAACCCTCTGCTGGTATTGTGATTGTGATTGAAGTTTGGCTATGATCAATTTAGAAAGAAGTGACATCTTTGCAATATTGCCTTAGTCAACAAAGCTCATTTCTCCCTTTATTTAGGTCTCTTAAATTTTATCTGAATTATGATTTATAGTTCTGTTTGTAGAATTTTTGCACATATTTTGGTAGAGTTATCAGTGGGTAATTTAATATTTTTTGAAGCTATGGTAAATGGCATTATTTTCTCCATTTTATTTTCTAATCTTTTTCTCTCTGCTATATAGAAATAAAGTTGATTATCACATGTTGACATTTTTCAACTACCTTGTTAAGGCGTCTTACAAATTCTAATTCTTTATGTGTAGTTTCTTTTGGATTTTCTATAATACATCATCTGCAAATAATGGGAGTCCCCCCTCTTTCTAATCCTTATGTCTATGATTTTCTTTCCTTACCTTAATACACTGGCTAGAATTTCTAGCTAAATATTGAATAGTGGGCATCCTTCACTTAAACTCAGTCTTACAAGCAAAAACTTTCAACATTTTACCATTACATGTGAGGTTCACTCTATGCTTTTCATAAAAACAAACAAAAAACCCAAACCCATTGCCGTCAAGTGGATTCCAACTTATAGTGACCCTATAGGACAGAGTAGAACTGCCCTATAGAGTTTCCAAGGCTGAAATATTTGTGGAAGTAGACTGCCACACCTTTCTCCCATGGAGCAGCTGGTGGGTTCAAGTTGCCATCTTTAGGTTAGTAGCTGAGCCCTTTAACCAATGCACCACCAGGCCTTCTAAGCCTTTTATAGATATCTTTTATTGGGTTATGATGTTATCTGTTCATTACGAAAAACCTTAATTACTAAAAATGAAAATAAATTTCGTAAGTCGATAAACGATATGCTTTTTATAACAAACCAGAAAATCAAACCCATTGCCATCGAGTTGATTCTGACTCATAGTGACCCTATAGGACAGAATAGAACTGCCCCATAGGGTTTCCAAGGAGCAGCTGGTGGATTTGAACTGCTGACCTTTTGGTTAGCAGCCAAGCTAGTATAGATACCCTTTTTTAGGTTATGAAATTTCTTTGTATTTCTAGTAATTAAGAGTTTTCATAATGAACAGATAATTTTCTTCTAAACTTGGCTTTAACTGCATCACACATTTTTGTATGTAACATTTTCCACTTATTCCATTCATATTATTTTCTAATTTTCAATGTGATTTATTTTACAGAGGTTATTTAGAAGTTTGCATTTGATGATTTTGCTGTTAATATTCAGCGTAATTTCATTAAGATCAGAGACAATCCCCTTAGACAATTTTTGACACTTGTTTATGGCCCTCCATTTAGTTGGTTTTTTATAAATATTACAGATTCAAGATACTGTTTATTTTGTAGTTATTGAATGCTATTTTCCATGTAAGTAAGTTATATCAAGCTTATTTTCTTTAAATACTGTACATGCTTACTAATTTTTTTTTAATTAATCAGTTACTAGAAGTTTGTTAAAATCCTTAATTATATTTGTGGATTTGGCTACTTCTTTTAATTTAGTCAATTTTGCTTTATACATTTTGAGGCTGTTACCAGGTGAAACAAATGTACAATGTTAACACCCTCCTGGTGAATTGAACCTATTATGCTTATGAAATTTCTTTCTTTTTACTTAGTAATGCTTTGTGCCTTACAGTCTACTTTGTCTTATATTAATCTCGGTACAGTACTTTTCTTTTGGTTAAGGTTTGCATAGAATAGTGTTTCATCTTTTGCATAAATCTTCCTGTTTCCTATGTTTTAGTTGTGGCTTTTATACCAGTATCTTTAGTTTATGTTTCGTTATTAGTCATTCAACTTTCGTCTTTCAATTGAGCTTATATTTCATATAAATTTAATATAATTACTGTAACTTTGAATTTACATCTGCAATATTTTTAAGTTTTTTTGTTTTTCTACTTATTCTGTGTTCCTTTTCTATCCTTTCCTGCCTCTCTTGGATTGATTAAATATTTCTTTTCTCATTTCATTTTGACTCCTCTACTAGAGTTGACATTAAATACTCTTTTCTTATTTTTTTAAATTATTGTCTTAAAAGTTACAGCATACATTCTTGACTTATTGAAGTCTTGTACTAATTAATAAATGTATCCTTTTTCCTGATGTTGCAAGGACCCTATTATTCTTCAACTTTATTTTATTACTTCTTGACATATGCTACTGTTGTTTCATGATGTAATTCTGTATATACTTAAGTCTCAGATATTATTATTGTTCAGTCAGTCAATATTTGCCCATGTATTTACCAATTTCTTTGTTCTTTATTATTATTATTATTTACATCTTTGTTCTCCATGTTACAGTCTTAATACTTACTTATGACCTGTCTTCCAGTTGGCTAATTCTCTTTTCACTGTGTTTAATACACAGTTAAACTCATTCATTTATCCTTTAATTTTATTTATTGGATATTTCATTTCTAAAATTTTCATTTGGTTATTTTTATATAATTTATAGTTCAATGACAAAATTCTCAATTTTGAACATAGTTCGTACAGTTATTTTTAAAGTCTATGTCTTACAACTCATATCTGGGGCCTCTGTGTGTTTTAATCTTCTATTGTTTTCATTTGCATTCATGTTGTTGCTTTTTCTAGTTCTTATTTAGTCATTGTCTTATTATGTGTTTATTCACTTCAGACCATTTACAAAAGTTGTTTGTAGAGATATTTTAAGGTCTGTGATGGTGTTGGGAACCGTAATGGCATGGTGGTTAAGAGTTTGACTGCTAACCTAAAGATCATCAGTTCGAATCCATCAGCTGCTCCTTGGAAACCCTATGGGGCAGTTCTACTCTGTCCTGTAGGGTCGCTATGAGTCGAAATCGACTCGAGGGCAATGGGTTTATGACGGTGATGGAGACGTGGTGGCGCAGTAGTTAAGCATTCAACTGGTAGCCAGAAGGTTGGCAGTTCAAATCTACTAGCTGCTCCTCGGAAAACCTGTGGAGCGGTTCTACTCTGTCCTATAGGATCTCTATGAGTCAGGTGACGGGTTTTGGTTATTTTGGATGATTGTGTTATATCATTATCATTATTTATGAAGAACTGAGGAACAGAAAGGTCAAGTAACTCCCATAAGGTCACACAATAAATGCCAGAGCCAGGTGTTGAGCCATGGCTGTTGAACCCTTACCCCAAACAATATACTTTCTTCTGTATTATGCTATACAGACTTCTTGTCTGGCAAGCTGGAAAGCTGTCATTTAAAATTGCCTCTTGGACACTTTTTATTGGTCAGTTTAAGCTAGTTTTACACTTGTGACCCTGACTGCTAGCAAACAATTAAACAGTGTAGTATTAAAACCCGTTGCCAGTGAGTTGATTCTGACTCATAGTGACCCTATAGGACAGAGTAGAATTACCCTACAGGGTTTCCAAGGAGCGGCTAGTGGATTCGAACTGCTGAGCTTTTGGTTAGCAGCTGAGCTCTTAACCACTGCGCCACCAAGGCTCCAGTACGGTATTACGTATTGGATAAATTGTAGACAGCAAGGATATGTTGGAATTTTTTACTCCATTCAAAAGCTAGCATTTATCACAAGTTGGTGTGGGAGGTACCAGGGTGTAGAGATTGCACTGTCTAATTTAAAGAACAGAGGAATTTATGGGAACAGTAGCTCTCTGGACTTTATCTTTAGAATGAAAATCTCCACTCACAAGGCAAATGAGCAAAATATGCCCTTCTAAGAATGAAAATACAAATTCCAAGAAAATATGCGTCAATTTGTCTTTTTATATACATGTATGATAACTATTGGAAACCTACTTTGGAAACTAATAGGCATTATTATCTCCAGTTTATGACTTGCGAAATTGAGCTCATTGAGTTTAATTACTTGCCATGCTCACAAAACTGGTAGGAGATGGGTCCAGGATTCAACCCTTGCTCTGATTCTCCAAAGTGCTTACACTTTCCATTCACAAACAAATCTTTTAGGCCTGACAATTGCAACACTAGATAGTATGTGTGTTTAAAACAAGATGTTGGAAAGCTCTGGGAATATTAAAAAATTCTACTTTTAACTGACAAATTGTAGTTGAATAAAGTTCATTTTGTAATTTCATACTTAGTCGAATTGAAATAGAATTTTATTTAATCATTAAACATGTTTTTGTTTTCATAATATAAAATTTTGAGAATGTATTTAATGTGTTTTTTTTTTGGTCCCATAGGGATGTGTATAAAATACAATTCTACCCATCAGACTCATCATCCAAAAAGTTTTCCAGACAGAATGATTTTTCCAAATACAATAAAACTATTTATGATGTGCTGCTCCATTTGAGTGGAAAAATGCCACCTGGAATTAATTCAAGCCAGTCTTTACCTGTGGATAACACTGAACGACTAAAGCAACTTCATTTGCAACATTCTTCACTCCTCACCTTTCTCAAGTAAGAGTATTGACTATACTAAATTATATACATTGAATTCTACGTGTAGTTTTCACTTATTTTCTCTTTTAAAACCCGATACCCTTCTTACATATGCATGGGCATTGTGTTATCTTATTTCATGGAGTTGCATCTAAGAAGGAAACTATTTCAAAGCAGCAAACTAAGAAGTGATTCTGGAGGGGAGCTCTGAACTGGGGGAGAAGAGTGTGGCTTTTTGAATCACGTAGTCATAGGCTTAAAATTTAGCTCATTTCTCCACTGGAAACCTTACACAAATTACTTACCCTGTTTAAACTCCAATTTCAATATCTGTAAAATTACAGATGATAATTCCCAGACTTCTTGGTTGATAAAAGAATTAGAAAGAATAAAATGTGCATTCCGTGACACATAGTCGGTTATTATTATTATTTATGTAAAAGCAAGAAATTATGGTCTGTGGCTTTCATATGCTAGGATACTTCCTTAAATTATTCCAACTTGGTAACCATTAGCGACATATAGAAAATTAACTCTGGCGACACCACTATCACTGAACTAGAATGTGTATTAAAAACAATCTGTTCTATTAAAAATGGGCATCTTGTTGAGATAAAGAATGCCAGTATTTATCAATTATGATTTTATATTTATTACATCAAATGGGAATTTTATCTTAATTTTTATAATTTTAAAACAGAAAGCATGTGATCTTTTAATTTTAACACTTTCTACGCTTGGCCCTAGATTGATTCAATAAGATAAATACCTAATTAAATAAAATAGACATTCTAATGTATTTTTTTATTTTATAAAGTTAACTGTGCTTATAAATATTAACTGTGAGGAAAAGAAGGATGTTTGGGTACTTAAATGAATCCTTATTCTTTGGTCACCTTCGAAATAAAATAATTTTGTGAGAGCATCATTAATCTCCACAGTACTTGGGATTGCCTTGTTATTTTTGTAGCATTTTTGTTGGCATAGATCCCAGTAGTGTTGACATTAACATGGGTGGTTTCTGTTTTGATGTTTTATAGTGTGAGGATGCAGGTACGGAAGAATGATTTTGGCACTAAAGCCAAGACATCCAGATTTATTTGCTCTTTTATCAGTAAATGCATGCCTATCAGGATATGTTGGTTTTGGTAAAGCTCCTTAACATTTACGAAGTGGCAGTATGGTTAATAAAATTGGGTCATTAATCCAAGTTATGTGCATATGCATCATCATGGAAATAAATGTATTAAAATTCAAAATAATCATAAATATTATTAGTTTCTCTGTTAAAATTTGATGACACAGTGAGTGAGGATTTTTGTACAAGTGTTATACCTATTTAATCCACTAAAAAAAAAATATGTGGTTTTTAGAGGTTAAGTTTAGAATTTAATAACGCATTACATCCAATTTTATTTTTTTCTACTCAGTGTGAACTTGGAAAAAATGTTAAAATAGAAAAACTTAGTATATACAAGTATAACCAATTCATTTATGAAAGTCAACACTCTGTAAAACTACTGATGAGACATAAAATCTATTGACAAGACATAAAAGTAAATACTATCTTATGGACTGATAAAGTTAGGCCTTAAAATAGATTCAGAATGAAAAGAACAGGTCTTGACAGCAGTGTCGGGCTGTAAAGTGCACATACGCATTCTTCATCCTCAGCTTTTACTGAATGCCTACTCTACGCTGGATGCTGTGGAATATTCAGATGGACAACATGTGGTCACCCTCCTCAAAACCAGTTGCCATCAAGTCGATTCCTACTCATGGTGACCACATGTGTTTCAGAGTAGAACTGCACTCCATAGCGTTTTCATTTGCTGTGGTCTTTTGCAAGTAAATCACTAGGACTTTTTTCTGATGCATCTCTGGGTGTATATGAACTGAGACCCTTTCGTTTAGTAGCCAAGTGTTTAACCATTACACCACCCGTCTCAAGAAGCTCCTATATTAGTGGTACCCTGATAGTTGTCCTTAAACTCTCAGTAGCATTTGATAGAATTGGGTCATTTCCTACTGAAGTCCTGTCTTAACTTTGGGTACAATGACAAATTCTAGTTTCTTTCCATCTCTGAGCTGTCTGTCTTTGCTTCATTCTCCAAGAAGTTGTTCCAACTTAATGGGAACTTTATCTCATTGAGCTCTTACATAGACTTTAGGAAGAGTATACCTGCTAAGGATTGGTGTTATATTAAAATTAGATTTTATTTAAACGTCTGGTAATTCAAATATAATGAGGAGTCACTGGAGTAATATAGATATAGATAGAAAATGTATGGAAAGCAAAGAGAAGGGATAATGTTTCACTTCCAAACAAAGGAGCCATATGTAGGTCATGTGATTTCTATCACTAGCTTGGGCTGGTCCAGGGCCTCTTCAAACTATGCTCACTGCTTCCAACCCAAGTGATCCTTTCTTCATTTCTTTTTCTAATTCGTTTGTGTTACATTCAAGGTTTGAGCATTCAGAATTATCTTAAGAGTCCTTTCTTCTTTTTCTTTTCCCCACTCCTCAGTAGTCATAGGGATACTCCAGAGTTGAACATTAGATGTGGAGATCTTCTCTGTTAGATGCTGATGGTGAGTGGTATTCTCTGCCAACTAAATGAGTTAGACCTGACTACCAAAATCTCCACCAGGAAATACTCCTGCCAAAAGTGGACTAGATATCAATAAAGTGGCTCTGTCAGTGATGGACATGCATATGAAGAGTTCAAATGAGATTTTTTTCAGGAATATTGTCATTATAAAATATATATATATATTCATTCATATATATTATCTTAAATGTGTTAATATACATTTTTATATATTTTAAATGTGTTAATATGAATAGATATTTGCTGTTTCAGGTATATACTACAAGTTTATATAATAAAAGAGACCAAAATTTTTGGATATTCTCTTTGGAAAATAAGTGATGGATTGCCTTGTATTTAGAGTTTTCTATATTCAGGTAGGAACCTTAGTGGTGGAGTGGCTAAAGTGTTTGACTGCTAACCAAAAGGTCTGTGATTTGAACCCACCAGCTGTTCCATGGGAGAAGGATGTGGCAGTCTGTTTCTGTAAAGATTTATAGCCTTGGAAACTCTATGGGGCAGTTCTGCTCTGTCCTATAGGGTCACTATGAGTCGGAATTGACTCGATGGCAAGAGGTTTGGTTTTTTGGGCTTTTTTGGTGGGTATATCCAGATATAAGTGATGATAGACATTAAATGAATATTGTATTACTAATGAAATCCTCTAAAAGAAACATCATATACCCATTTCATTAATAGAGGAGATTTGTAAAAAATTAGTTATATATTTTAAATTCAAAACATAAAATTCAGTAATTCAAATGCAAATTTATATGTATTGTGAACATAATACTATCATAATTTCAATTTTCTTAAAAAATTTTAGCACTCAAGGAGCATGTATTTCTCATGTACTGCCAGAATTTCTGTTTGAACCAGAAGATTATAGGAAGTGGATGGAAATGACAGTAAGTGAATAGAATTTTTAGGAAAAATTCTACACAGTTATTATTAAATTTAGTGGTATTCAACCTTTGTTAGAAAAATCTAATTTAGAGTCCTTGATTTTTATAATGATAAAAGATTTAAGCCTCTCTGAATAGCCAACATTTTTCTCCCTTTGTTTATAAATACTTGTGCAGTTTTTACATAAATATGATTACATGACCTTCCTAAATGTATAAGAAATTGCATTATTGGAGATTTCAAAATGAAGAAAAGTGTGTACTTACGTATTTTTTTTCTTAAAATAAATGTTCAGAATCTTGTCTTCCAAAGAAAATACTGTCTTAGTTTCACAACTACTTGCCATTTCAATTCTTCAATTTCAGGGGAGAATAGAGAGAAATTACACAAGAAACACATAGTGTTTTCTCAAAGTATACCATTCATTTTATGAAAACCTATTGATAAGGGGAATTGTTTTTGAGAAACCTATAGGCTTTGAGGCAACTCTGCTTTGATAATGTCATTGTTACTAAGTTTGCCATGTGGCATGAGTAGGAGTGCCAGGTGCAGTGGCATCACTAGGGGGAATACTGTCAGAGGAGGTGACACAAAAATGACCCCAGGGTCCGTGGCGGCGGCAGCAGTGGTGGCGGCGGGAGGGCTGGCTGTACCAGGGTAGGGGCCGCCGAGGCAGTGTTGTCACTAGACTTCGTGTCACCCATCACCCAGTGTGGTAACTCGTCACCCCCCCATCACCTACCAGTCAGGGTGAGGGTGGCCAAGCTGTGGCACCTGCTGTTGGGCGGAGAGGAGGGTCTCCACCTTGGTCAATGGGAGAGGGGAGGAGCTGCCGCAGGGGTGGGCCGGGAAGGATGAGGTCGGGCTGCTTAGCCTACCAATGGGTGTTTGCCAGCCAGCCCCACCTACCCTGGAAGAGGTGGTGGGTAACACCATGAGTTACCGCACTGAGTGACATGAGCCCTAGTGATGCCACTGGCCCGGTGCCTATTCTTTGGTGGTATGCTAAGTTCCCATGGCCCAATCCAAGAGTGGGGCTCTGTCGGGTCAGAGTTCAGAAGAACTTTGTATGTCCTTCTGCCATTCTGCCACAGAGTGAGCTGGTAGATACAGTGAAAGAATGAATTTATGACCTCATTAAAGGACTATGTGCTCCGCAAATTTATCTATACTGATAACTCCTAGTACTGGCAACATAGAAAATTAGAGCGTTGGACAAATGTATTAAAAAGGCATGCAAAGGTTTTATAATAAGAAAAAAAACTTATATATTAACTAAGTAGTTAAATTTTGGACTTATGTTTGACTTGCATGTTAACTAATGTTGTAACATTTTATTTCTTAAAGTCTTCCCCTGATGCCATGCCTGTGAGTTCTTGTACACCTAAGGAAAAGAATCCTCTTATTATAGATATGGACGACTTTGAATCCTTGAGTAAACGGGCATGGACAGATGTATTCCTTCAGACATACAAGGTAACCTTTCCACTCTTGTTCTCTGCTGTTTTTTGTTCAGTCACATGAATAGTTTATTAGTTAAGGTATAGGCAATGCCGCTGTAAAAGGTTCAAAAACACAGTGGCTTAAATAAGTCAGAAATTTCTTTCTCATGGATCTGTGGAGAAGTGAGTAGTTCAGTACTAGTGTAATATTTCTTCCATCCTCAGTACTAGGCTTTCATCTGTAGGTCTAATTTCTCAGAAGAGACAAGAGCAGGAAAAGGAATAGTGGGGGGCAGTATTCCTTTTAACAATGTCACCTGAAAAAAATGCATCATTTCCATTTCACATTCTGTTGGGCACAACATCGTCACATGGCCAAATCTAGCTGCAAGAGAGGTTGGGTGGCTACATGGGGATTCTGGTACTAAAAGGAAGAATCAAAGAATGGATAGTGAAGAAAATTATGGTCTAATTATGGTCTAATAGACAGTAGAGTCTTACCATAAAATTATTATGGAAAGATATTCAAGAGGAATCATACTACTGTAGACGAGACCAGGGTTTGATGAGACTCTCCAATTTACTTCATGCCAAGTTGCATGTGTGGTTAGATTAACGTAATATAAAATACACCTGTATACCTTATCTCTTTCTTGCATAAACAAATCCTTATTTCAGCCCTGAGATTCATTCCCTAGGTTTCCAAATGTGGCACTATAGATCTTGTCCCCTAAGTACAATGGAGTCTTTTACTTTGTCTTCACACTTTGCCATCGCAGGTAGAGTGAGCTGTATGACGTGGGTAGAATGAGAAAAGAGTTAGTACTTAGTCACTCAAAGGAAAGGACAAAAATAAGAGCTAATCAGTGAGTACTATGTGTAAAACTCTGTCACTAAATGCTGTTTTTATGTGATCTCATTTAATCCTCACAACCAGTTATCCCCAGTTTAGACCTGAGAGAACTGAAGCTCACAAACACAAATGCTTTCTTCCAAGATCACATGATTTTGGTCATATGCAGCAAGTTTATATAGGTAAAACTTATTTCTTTCTTGTTTTCTACTGGGGCCCAGGATCCCAGGACCTTTGTGCTGTCCTCTTGCAGTCTAAAGCCTCCATTGAAGCGAGACATCCAGGCCTGTTGTCTGGAGAGTTCCTTCTGTTGCATGATTCCCACTTGTTCCTCCTCTCCTCCTCTTCTTCCTTCATTGACCTGCTCTGTCTCTTTTGCTGGATGTCAAGAGGAGAAATCCTCTTGTTCCTTAGGTCATTCTCAGCAGAAGATACAGGGGTATTTGTGACTCTCAGCCAAACTTAGAGGTAGAAAGAGACATTCTCTTCTTTCTTAAATCCAGGCTACATAATCTATAATTTTGCCCACTAATAAAGAGGGACAACTCCAAAATAGAAGAGCAGCAAATACCCTACCTTAATGGCAACCTGGTCTTAATACTGGGCTTTATTCATTCACTCACTCACTCATATTTTTATTCCTTTCTTTATACATTTCTTTTTGTGTTTAGTTTATTTAATCCATCTTCTTCACTCTATAATTATATTTGTGAGTTTAAAAACCATGAATGACTTATAAACTTAACATCCAGTAGGATACCTGGTACGTAAAACAAAACTCATTGTCATCGAGTTGATTCCGACTCATAGTGACCTCCTAGGCCAGAGTAGTACTGCCCTATGGGGTTTCCAAGGCTGTAATCTTTATGAAAGCAGACTGCCACCTCTTTCTCCCATGGAAAGGCTGGTGGGTCTGACCTTTTGGTTAGCAACTGAGCACTTAACCACTGTACCACCAGGGCTTCTTACCTGGTACATAGTAGATGTAAATAAATATTTATTGAATTCTTTCAACAACTCTTGTGCTGAAAGCACTATACTATATATTAGGCTCATGGGAAATAATAGTAAACTTGAAATAATCTCTCTCCTCAAGGAATTTATGGCCTGGAGGAGAATGTAAGCAAGTAAATAGATAATTACAAGATAGTATGACAAGTGTTGGAGCCCTAGGGGCACAGTGGATAAGCATTTGTCTGCTAACCAAAAGGTTAGCAGTTCGAATCCACCAGCCACTCCTTGGAAGCCCTATGGGGCAGTTTTACTCTGTCTTATAGGGTTGCTATGAGTCGGAATCTACCGAGGGCAGTAAGTTTGGTTTGGTTTGGTATGACAGATGTTATGACAAGGTAAGCCCAAGAAACTATAGATAAGTGCACATAGGTAGAAACCTAACTTAGTCTTGGTCCTTGGGAAGGCTTCGCAGAAGAAATTAAAACTGAGCCCTGAGAAATGACTAGGAGTTTGCCAGGCAAGGCAGGGCGTGAGTTGGTGAGAGGGAGGTAGTACAATTTTTTGTGAAGGATATAGTAGGTGGGCTTTATTGGAAGACAGTAAAATTTTTCAAGACAGAGAATTCAGTGTACAAAAATATTAATGTTAAATAGAACATGGTATGTTCTGAGGAATGAACACAGTATGGCTGGGGCAGGGGGAGTGGACTCTGATCCTTGTCAGGAATTGGATCATGATTGACTTTATAAGCCAAACTAAGGAATCAGAACTTTCTGGATTTTAGCCCAAGGTCAGCACAGATATACCGAAGGGTTTTAATCATAAGGGTGACATACCATATTTTTACGAAAATAACACACGCCTTTTGGGTTTGTTGCTGGCATCACCCCCTACCCTCCCACCCCCCAGGTATTTTCTTAGGTGTTGCTATGCTAGGTTGTTTTTTTTTTTTACATGTTACTGTGAAGAAAAATTAGCATAAGGCAGTTGTGAAGATTCCTTGTGGGGGAGGGTGCAAGAGGCAAACAAATGCAAAAGGATGTGTTATTTGCTTAAAAATACAGTAATCAGTTTTGCATTCTAAAGAAATAAATCTGGTTATAGTGTGGAGACTGTTGGAAAGGAGGGGGATGCATTTAAGCATCTGGTGGTGTAACCCAGGTGGAAAATGCTGGTGATAGTGGGAAGAGTGAAAAAGGGGCAGCTTTCATAGATGTTAGGAGTAAAACTCAATAGGATTTGGTAAATGATTAGGTTTAGGGGGGCAAAGGAGATAGAGGGGTCAGGAATGATAATGTGTTTCTTGCTTGGGTGAATGAGTGGATTTTGATCCCAGACTCTGAAATGGAAAAAAAGGAGAAAAAGCAGGGTTTTGTCTGGAGGTCGGGGGTGGGGGTGGGGGAGGGAGAGTGGGACAAGGCAAGAGGGCATGATGAGTTCATTTTGGTCCTGCTGCATTTAAATTGCCCTGTGTGATTACCAAATGGGTGTATCCATTAGTCATGAGAGAGATCTGGTTGGCAGCACACATTTGGGAGTCTTCACTGATTTGATGATAAAGTCATAGGAAGGGATAAGAAGAGCATCTGCAGAGCCCTGTTTCTCCGTGTATCATTTCTAAAGCACAGACAGCTCCAGACACTCTATTAAATCAGAAGTGGACTGCTAATTTCACTTGAAATAGCAAACAATCTTGTTTAGATATGTTTCACAAGTTAGAAATGGAAGGTTGTGATTTCTACACAAAGCCTCTTAGTTTCTAATGGTTCCCTTCCTAGGGGTCATGCATGCACTCCAAGATTGCTTTTGTCAGTTCCCCTTGGCTAATTGTTTAGATACCAGGGCATAGCTTGTCTCACCCAATTTGATTTTGTGTCATTTTGTTATTTTTCTTCCTAAATTTGCATGTGTAATTGTAGCTATTGTCTTGCACTATATTCCCCCCCAAAAAAATGTATTGATGGCTGAAATAAATGGTTCAATGAAGCATAAGAGGGGTGAAAAATGAGAACAAAGCACTCCATCTCAGAATGCTGTTATAAATATAATCAGGCCTCTCATGTGAATATAAAGTCTGAATTTGTGTGTGCTGAAAGAAGTGAATCTAATGCATTTATAGAAGCATCTGGAAAAGGAAAAAGGTGATTGAAAATATGGCAATAAATGTATGAGAACAAATTTAATCCAACTATTTTTTGTTTGTTTTTCATTTATTACCAGTGTACTGCCTGTCATGGCATTTTTTCAAATAGCACAGTTCTTTTAAAGAATTCTGACATTTTCAAACAAAGCAGTGATCTTTCTGGTTAATTAAACAAGTGTCTCCAAAACCAGTTCAAAATCTTTCTAAAATGAAACTCGAATATATGTTGCTAATGGTAGGGTAGATACCAAAACTACAAAGGCTTTATTCAGAATTCCATGCAAAGTACTAGTGACCGTATTTCGGATGAATTTGTAGAATGATCTGCAATAAAATATTATTGAAGAGAAAGCAAAATTGGTCAAATTCTTTTCTTTCAAGGATTTTTAGGATAGATATCCCAAAAATATCAGTGGCATACAATGTGGAAACACAAATACTTTCACATGTGATAGCAAATATTTCATTTTTTGGTTGGATGTAAGCTTTAACGGGGATCATAACTCTTTGCATGTATGTGATAAATATATGTGAGAGAAGTGTCTGATGACTTTTTGTTCTCTTTAGAAGTGAAAGTCCATGCTATAGGAGGAGTTATGCTTTGTTATTTAAAAAATAATTTGTCATGTAGCCTAGAGGCAATCCATTTTGTTTCAGAATTGATAGAGCATGAGCCATTGGTCACAACAAGAAAGAGTGTTGCAAATGAATCTTTATTTATAAGGAAGTGTGAGTTATCAACAATATGCTTCCTGTTCTTGATAAAGAAAATAGTCAAAATTGTAAATACTGTCAAAGTAAGGTTTCTGAGTTACATAATTTCATTGTCATCTATGTGAATTCAAGATCCTGCTTTCCAGTACTAAGGTATGCTGGCTCTTCAAGAGAAGGGTGCTGTCACCTGAATTTTTAAAATAAGGGTGATATTAAAAGTAAAATCTTCAAACAGTAGTGTTTTTCTGTATATGTAGTTTCTGTTATTTTAAGTGACTAGTTCAAGTGGTGCACCAAGTAATGCTTTCCATAGCTTGGATATGTTGTTGTGTGCTGTCAAGTCTTTTTCAACTCATAGGGACCCAATAGG